GTTTCTCCCGCCCCCCCCGGGCCCCCCCCCCCCCCCCCCCCCCGCAATTTTGATTTGGTGACGGGAATATTTTAAGTGATTGCTTCTGCTGCTAGATTTTACACCGCCACTCTGTCATTGCATGCCTAAGTTATGGCAGAAATATATATTTAACATTCCTGCCTGCACGGTGCTAAAGTCTCCAACCGTAACATTGCACAGCCATCCTCCCCGACTGTGCTGAATTACCTTCATTAAATATATAAATGGAACAGCAGCCACGTTTATTTCAACATACATGATTTCACTCCACACCTCGGTACTTAAAATAACGATCTGCATTCAAGTGGCATCTTTTGACAGCTGAACTCCAACTGTTTTACAGACATTCAGGACCTCAGACCTCCCTAACCTTACTTGATAGGCCTCTTATCATTAACTGCCACATTTCCTGACCATAAAAAACAAAAAAAAGACACCCCCCCCAGGCACGAGGAGATGAAGAGGGCTGCTGTCCAAGGCTGGGCAGAGGGCCTGGGGGAGAGCCAGGATGGGCTGGCAGTTCCCCATCCCATCCTCTGCCCATAACGCCATTCCCCTGCTCTGCACTAAAGTGACACCTGAAGCACAAAGACAATTTTGCAAGCCATTATGAGCTCCTGAAAACAAAACAAAGAAGCTTAGAGCAGAAAAATCCCCTCTCAGCCATATGCCAGAGCGGCTGGCACGATGCTATAACAAAGCCCAATCTCCCAATAAAAAGCTCCATCACGATAACCTCAACCCGACCCGCAGGACAGAGCTGGATGCAACTGCATCGCTTCAGCATCCTTGATCAGCCACAGGCATCACCTCTTGCATTTGCAGCTTTGCGTTCTCCCATTAGCATGATCACACACACAGGTTGTTAGATATATTCAGCGAGTCGTTGAAGGAATATGTGGACGAGCTGCTTTATAAACAGGGTAAGTGGTGCAACGCTGTTATTCTGCAGAGCTGGAATTTATGTTCTTTACTAAGTACAGAGTGCTTACAATTTATCAGCAGAGCATTTTAAGTAAACAGCACTAAACACTTAAAACTCAGCAGCCAGTGGCTAGAATGGAGTACTTCCAGTGCGGGTTATTGGCATCATCTTTTTCTCCAGCAGAGACGTCGCGTTTGGCATCTATTAACAGGGTTTGCATTATTTATTAACCTGCACCAAGAGTCATTTCCAACTAGCAGGCAAGTGGACAATTTATTTTGGTGCACAACCCTTCTGTCAAGTTTCACAACAACTCCTTAGCTAACAAGTCAATAAACCAGCCGCAAAATCGAGCAGAAGGGTTGTGAGATCCCCTTGTCATGGGGTGACAAGGGGGGAGGCCAAGCAGTACAAAAAATGGGTGCCAGGGCACAAGAGGGTGCAACCACTCTGCATGTAGAGGGTTGAGCAGGGGGGTCTACAGAGAAAAGTGATTCCCAAAACCACTGGCACAGGCCGATGCTTTTCTTCAGATTAAGGTTCCTCACATGAGAAGCAATCCTTGGACAACACAGAGGTGCCCAAACCCCAGGTGACAGAACCTGGCTCTGTCCAGGGATGGTGAACAGAGATCTCGCCCCCTTGTTGTCACAAAAACAAACCACCGGAGCTTCAGCTATCCCTGGGGTCAGGCTGGGGAATAAGGCACAAAGAAGTGACTGAAGGAGATTAAGGCAGCGCCCACCAGCTCAGCCTGGGCATGCTGCCTCCCAGAGCAAACCCATCGGAACGGTCCCTCCGTACCCCACACAACGCAACCGCTTTGTGGGAGGATCAGTATTGGGTTACAGAATGACCTTGAAGAAATTACTAACACCTACAAAATACTTTACTGCACCAATTTAACCTTAAATAATGCAGAAAATGGTTTTTCACCTTAGCAGATCGTTTTATTAAGTGTTAGTTCTGTGCTAGAGAGAAGAGAGCGCTGAGCCCCTGTTGTGATGACACGACAGTCTAAAAGACCATGCAGAAAAGGGGACCAAGCCCCAGGAAGAAGTGCTCAGCTTCCACCGTGTGATGTTGTTCCCATTTAGAAGAAAGCTTTAACATGAGGATGTGACGCCTCCGCACTGAAACAGGGAGGGAGATGGCAGAAGGGAGAGGGCAGGGGCTGAGCAGAGCATCCCTCCACTAACTACCTGGGAAACAATAAATGGGTAGCCTGTATCTGTTCCTCATCCCACCAGGAGATGCCTGAACAAACCACCCACAACAGCTTACAACTGAAATGGAGATAACTTTGAGACTGCAGACTGCATTTATTTCTCCTTCTGGACTTGAATGGTAACAGAAGTGCCACAGATAACCATTTATTTGTATTTAAAGCCCATTTAGAGCAAACAGGGAATCAAATATGCAATATTCTTCCATTTTTTTAAAAATAAAGTAATGTCAAATACTTTCAATTGCCACTTACTAAGCCACAAGACAGGGCTGTAAAAGTTATTTTTATTTACTAATGCTACACGACAACTCGATAATGAGCTTTTAATTAAAATCTATTTCTGTTAACCACCGAGGAGGCCAAAAACGCACCCAGGCGTAACAACGCAGATGGTGCAGCCAAGCACATTTCGTGGTGTCTGCCCAAGATGGAGACAGAGTGGGGTACATGGGAGAACAAGCTGCTGCGGCTCTGGCCAGCCAGCACTGAAGCAAGCGGGAGAGGCGGAGAGGACAACAACCAACGATGTCCTAAAGCCTCACCTCACCCTACAAGTTGGGGTTGCACAAATTAAGAATTACGGGGTCAGCAGCTTAATGCAGGTGAAGAAGCTCCAAGAGGCCGAGAGAAGGATCTTGGATCCTGCAAGGACCTCTGGCCTTCCTGTACCAAGGATGCATACAGATAAAACGTTAGACGGAGCCATCTCCGTGCTGCTGTCGCATGCTCTGCAGTACAGCACACTCTTCCTCACCCTGGGAAGGACCGAGCAGGGTAGCGATCACAGAGCCAAGCCTTACCTCCATGCCAGAGCCGACTGCTGACGGACACCAGGTATTTCAGCACAAGCCTGCCCTGCTCTAATGATCTTTTGCATGCTGATGCAGTCTGAAACCAGACAGCTTACCCCAGGGAAAGCTGAGCTAGGCTTTAAGAAGCCGGCGCTGTCAGCCTTAGGACAGAGGGTTAGCCTTGCCCTGGCAACGGCAACTTTACCTCTGAATGAAGCAAGGCTAACCACGTATACTGTCAAATGCCTCTCTTCCAATCTTAAGGGCTGTTTGATTTTGTAAGAGTGCTGCCTCCCAGCTTCAAGTAGATTGTTTCCAGGGCTGCTTCCCTGTTCAAGCACTTTTAATTTCAAGAACCACCTACTTGAAAGACACTGCCTGTACAAAGGAGAAGAAAAAAAAAAAAAAGAGGTATTAAATGGCATCAAAACTAGAGCCTATACACCGAAAGAGAAAGACTTTCTATCCCAAATGCCTTCCCTCCTTCCCCTTTGCATCAACACACCTCCTCCGGATTA